AACGACGAAGACGGCAGAAGTGTTTGTAAATAAAAGTGTATACTTATAAAAATATAGTGGGAGTTATGTCTTGAGTGAACATTAAATGTTTTCTTGGTTCGCGGAATGGTCACGAGCGTGGAGGCTTGAAGACGGGGGTCTCATCAGTGCTGAGAGTAACACCGCACTGTCACGTTACTGTATACACCAAATTGTTACGATCAAATAAAAGGCTTACTATGTATGCATAGGAAAGTGGAACCAAGGGGCAAGGGGGTGACCCCGGCGTAGTGGTTAGCATCCATACCCCTAACACCAAAGTCACGAGTTCACCCCCGGACAAGTCATGAATAACCCAAGAGCGCACACAACGACTGCAGCAAACTAGGGAGGCCGCACGGAAATTCTACAGTCCTCACAATTTTCATTAACATTGATGAACTCTACGGAAGGAATAAAAGACGACTCTCTCATCGCAGAAGAAAACTATAATGTAAGTACAACTAGTCTTCCAGAAATCTTTTTGCCTTCTCATCAGAATTGCCAATTCTGGTAAATAATAACAAATAAAATAATTTGTCAACCGACGCACTTACAACAATTTCTTCACAGAATGCAACTGAAATCTTGGTTTACTGTCAAAATTTTAATCGCATAAAAAGCCCAGCCAAAATGAAGGAAATAGGGGAATTTACGTATTTTCGTCAATCTAAGCAGCGTCCGCACTTCTATTAGCATTTTTTCAGCGTCACGCACATATATGACGTGTCTGTTTGTTAACATTCATCTGCTGCTTGCTTCTCTATCCATTCCAATCGACAGAATTTTTCAAAACGGTTTGAAAGCGTTTTTACAACGCTCTAAACTTCTCAGGTGAGTGTGGCTATTGTCGGCAGCCTCTTTTTCTTCGGCAACCTTCCCATTAGAACTGCGTGTTAACCAGCTGTTCTATTATCGGCAACTCGAAATCAGCCCCATTTTGTAGTGCGTATGCTTCATTTGAAGAAAAATCTGGCATAATAGGATTGCTCGGTCGTACAAATATAATCAGATTGAAGCTGAAATACTAAATAATCGTTTGGATACATTCAGGGAAGTGCGTTGATGGGAAATTATCGTTTAAATTTTGGTTGCCGAAAACAGTCAATGGGTGCCGAAGCCGACATTTACCCTATATAAAAATTTATTATGCTCATCGTTTTGGGTGAAATCTCACATAGCAGGTGAAACACACGTGTTTGCTTCAGTGTATTTTCCATCCGAACATGCTGATAAAAACACTTATGAAACATTCTTCCAAAATACTGAACAAATTATATCTCTACTTTCTCCTGAGGTAAAGGTTCACATCAATGGAGGCTTCAACCAATGCCATGCCAACTTCGTTCTGGACTCTGAAAATGAAAGTATCTTACCCCCAGTCGTTGGGATAATGAAACATTGCAGTTCATTTTCGACAAAATTGCTAATTTAGGATTCAACCAAATCAATCACATTAAGAACCAACAAAATTGCTATTTAGACTTCTTACTTTTTAATATTTATGAAGATTTCTGTGTGACCGAAAACCCATTGTGGAAAAACGAAGCGTTTTAATATTATTTATTTGTGCACGAATACCAAACACACAGCGACTATGAAAAAATCAAACGTAAATTGAACAGCGTCAATTGGCAAATAATTCTAAAGAATTAAGGAAATGTCGAAACTGCTGAAAACATCTTCCACCAAATTTTATCAAGAATAATTTCAGAAGAAATAACTTTGAAGAAAAAAAAGACGCTTCAGAAGCATTAAAAATCCAGTCGGTATAACAGACAAATAATAAAATTAAAAAAAAAAAATTGAAAACAGAAAGCACATAAACATTACAAAAAACACAATAATAGTGAAAATTTGGCTATCTATTTGGACATATGCGATTAACTGGATTTAGCCATTAGTAATGCATTTGTGAAATTTAATTCAAAAACTGAACTTGTAATAAAGTTCTGTCAAAAAAACTTCTTCAATTACGTAAAAACCAAAATAAAATATGATAATTTTCCATCAATAATGCAACTTGACGAACGTGTCGAGGATAGCTCGGAAAAAATGTAATCTCAAGACCAACAATTTAAAAGGCCTTAACTCCATTTTGTAAACAAACCTTGTAAGGCTATTTTCTTGCGAACCGAAGGCCGCAAAGGCAAACCAACATTATGAACAGGTAGGGGAAATTCTCCTCTACCCGATTGTGGTTTAGGTTTGCGAATGAAGGTTTCGGTTCGCGAGAAAATGGCCTTACAAAGTTTGTTTACAAAATGGAGTTAAGGCCATTTCAATTGTTGGTCTTGATCTTTTTGCAATTTTTTTTCAAGAAATCTATATATATATATATATAATATATATATATATATATATATATATATATATATATATATATATATCTATTATATCCAGAATTTTCAAGGGACGTTGGCGTCAATCAACTTCAAGTGCAGGATATTTTGCAGGCTTTTAAAGAATTTAGACGCCTTGAATGGTCCTGGACCTGACGGAGTTCCTCCAGTATTTTATAAAATCTACATAGTAATGGAACTCACTGCTCCATTGTTTTGGATTTTTGATATGGAATACGGAGCCTTCCCTAAAATATGGAAAAGCTCATTTTTAGATCTGGCCGGAAAACTGACGTACGTAATTATCGTGGAATAGCCATTATCTCTTGCGTTCCAAAGCTTTTCGAGGCAATTGTAAATGAAAAATTATTTCTTCAAACCAAAAATTGAATTGCTGACATGCAACACGGCTTCTTTAAAGGACGTTCGACCGCGACAAATTTACTTGAATTTATAGACAATGGATAATGGAAACCACGTAGAAGACCTCTCTACGGACTTAAGCAAGGCATTTGACCGAATTGACATACCAATGCTACTCCTCAAATTGAAAAAAAAATGGAATTGAGCCAGGACTCTTGAAATGATTTGAATCATATTTAACTAACCGCCAACAAATAATTAAATTCAATGGATAGAAATCGACTCCAATTCAAGTCACCTCAGGAGTCCCCCAAGGCTTTCACTTGGGACCTCTTATTTTTATTCTGTACTAGCTGAGCGTGCCCGGTCTTGCTCGGGATTCAATATTAGCTTGAGTTATGCGCCGATTTAAAAAAAAAGCATGCTATATTGTACGTAGCCCCCCCCCCCTATTATCTAAGGGGCTACCCCCTATTATTATCTCCTTATACCCCCACACTCGCCCCCACATGCCTAATTTGGTTCCATTTGCTTGATTAGTTCTCGAGTTATGCAGAAATTTCTGTTTCATTTGTATGGGAGCCCCCCTTACATAAGGGGGAGGGGTCTCGAACCATCATAAGAACCTTCAACGGCCCCAAAAACCCCTGTATACAAATTTTCACGCCAATCGGTTCAGTAGTTTCCGAGTCTATAAGGGTTAGACAGACAGACAGACAGACAGACAGAAATTCATTTTTATATATATAGATGTAAACGACATTTTCTCTATTCTCAAAAAAAAAATATTAAATTGCTACTTTATGCCGACGACATGAAGCTCTTTTTTGGAAATAAAAAATGATGAAGACATCAATATATTCCAGAGTGAAATACATACACATATTCTACACATGGTGAAAAGAAGCCTATTAGAATTGAATATAAAAAATGCAACTTAATATTATTTAGCAGGAAAAGAACACTATCAAATATTTCAATTCCATTAAGAAATCAGAATGTAGAAAAATGTGAAAGAGTTAGGGATTTAGGGATTATCTTAGACTCCAAACTAACTTTCATAGACTATTAAAATACAATAATTCACAGTTCAAATAACATGCATACTAATAATTTACAAACCAATATTTTAACTCCTACGGAATCATAACTAGTAAGAAGTAAAAGTTGAATAGCAGACAATTTTTTTTTTATATTCTTAAGAATACTAAATTTGTATATGTATTTGTACTAGTCTACATCGGTTGATGAAAATAAATAAAGAAACTAAAAAAAACAAGGAGCAAGAGAACTTTGATATATTTGAAAATATCATCAAATATTTCTAAATAACATCGAATATATTTCAATATTTTCAAAAACTATAAGGGTTTACTACCCCATTTCCGGCCTATTAATCACAACCCACACTTAGTCTTTCTTAATCTAACGCAGTTCAGCTCCAAACGAAATGTTATCATTACTGATGGCTTCCAAAGTTATTTACCTTTCCGTAAGTACCGTAAGATTTGATAAAGAGAAACCAATCGTTGAGATACTGTCAAAAGTCTAACACTACTTCTTGACGCCAAACTCGGCCTAAGGATTCTAAACTCGGCCTAACGCATTGAAACGCCAATGAATTCACTTCGGCCTATCGAGTAAAGATTCTTTTGTTTTGGGAATAATGGGTGCAAACCTTCATATCACGCGTTCTCATTGACTTCGTTCCGTAGCTTATTAACTAAAGTATCGTACCAAACGCATAATTGACATGTTAACTCTGAAATCATGGATTTATTTGAAGTTTTCTGCTCGATAGGCCCAAAATGGGCGATTAGGCCGAAGTAGTTCTCTACCCTACATGTTTTTTTTGTGCTGAAATTTGGTCTAGGTGTACTTTTGTTTTCAAGTAAATATTTGGATATTTCAACTAAGGTCGACCGCCCCCCGAGTGAAACCGAAAAAAAGTACTCAAGGCTTTCAAACTGACAATTGGAGCTTTTCGTTCAAGTCAAACGTAAACAACTTTAATGAAAAAACCCTCTTGAGAAATTCATTGGAGTATATTAACATTTCCCGGAATAAAGCATTATTCAACGTTGCCACGGAGTGCTCTTTTGATTGTATCGTCATTATTGAAGCGAACTTAATGTTACTTTCCTTATTTTTTGCAAATTTAACTCCAAAAATAGGCACACATCCAACACAACCTTATTTCGCATCATTCTATTTGCATGAAATTTACAAACCTCAAAGTCAAATATCAAAACATTTGTTTTTTCAACTGAAACCTACCTCTAGGCAGCCTACAGCTTTTGGTTGCACTTTAATAATATCCCGGCGGCCTGCAAGCCGGTACACGTATCGCCATAAAACACTACTACTTTGGTACAGCACTTACGAAACTTTCGAATTTCGAAATTTCATTCAACACACACTTCACGATAATACCAACCGTCACTTTCTATTTTTTTTTAATCTGACTTCCTTTACATTCCAATCAGCAACGCTTCCACGGTGAACCGTACGTGATTTTCCATTTTCCTTGTTCAAACGGAATAAAACGCTTTTCTTCAGTTTCACTTTCTACGCCATCCATCGAAGAAATGCTGACTTATAGAATTTTCCATCACACTCGTCAAGTACCCTATGTACATATATATATTACTACACGTTCTACACTATTTATCATGGTTGGCTTCACTTCCTTTGGCGACGGGTCAAAATGAAAATCCGCGCACATGAAGCACCATCTCGAAGAAAATCCGCATGCAAAACAATTTTCCAAGTCAAACCCAAAAGAGCACCTTTGCCAGCGGATAAAACCGTCCTCGGCAACTTGTTGTCTGCCTCCTCGAGAGTTCTTAGCTACTCAATTTCTTTCTATTATTCCTTTGGCCGGAATATAGCTACGCTTGCAGCAGAAGACACACGGCACAGCATCTGCAAAAAACACCGACCCGAATAATCCTCGACCGTTTGATTAGAAACAGACCGAGGAGGACGGGACGGGAGCTTTTAGAACACTTTTTCCAACCATCCGATGATGGTTTCCTCCGGTCCTACACACCGGGAGAGTTTTTCCTCCCTCTTAGAAAGCTCCGTACAGAGCAACGCACCAGTTCCAGACAAAGTGAACTGGAGAGTGCACGCACGGTTGCTCAGCTCTTGGTTTGCCGCGATTCCGTTCCGATTTTTACAGGACCAACGTAACCGAACGACTGACTGGAGAGAGCCAGCTGCTGCAATCTTTTATAACAAGTAATAAACCTGTCGGTGTAGCGGGAAAGCGTTCGTCTGTCTCGTTTAGCCAGCCCCGACTGGGTGGCATGTGGGAAAAATAGAGAGAATGGGGTTAGATGGGATTTCTTTTTATTGGCTTTAATAGAACGCATGCTTCATTGTTAGCATCAGATGTCACTACCAACATAATTTAAAGCAATTTGTTGTGTATGCATAATACCAGGAAATGTAGATATAAAAAAAAATAATTTCATTTCAGAAAATAAATTGGTAGCACCAATTTATTTTCTGAAAGTATATTATTTTTTGATTAAATTAACTATGGGCGCCACCGGCAGAGGTGCTATCAACTAACACATATTTGAATTGACCGTTAAATGCGTGTTCGATGTACAAGATGCGAGTATTATGTCTGCTTGTCTGTGGTTCGATGAAGATTTGCAGGTTTTCAAAAGATATTGTTTTCGTTCTTAGTGACCTTCATGGCCTATTAAATGATCAATTTATTTTTCCAAGTGCTAATTTCATACGTTTCTTGTTCATTTCTTATTTTTTGTTGAGCGTTTTTGAAATTTTCCCTGGGACTTTCATTGTACTTTTTGTGTCTTTTTTTACCTTTATATTGCTCAAACGGCATTTTCTAGTGCTCTTTTGTGACGTATATATTGCTCAAACAGATGTTTTTAGTGCTCTTTTGATTTTGTTTAATGGTACCTTTTTCAATGAGACCCACATTTGTTAATCTTCTTTATCGACATCGCCTTTGTTAGCCAAGACACAGTATCATTACTTATCACTGTCTTGAAAATACCATATGGAAATTGATCTGGGTTATTGGCTCATAAACTTTCAATTTAAAGGAATTTTTCCTGAATATCATTGAATTTTTTTTAATTTTATATTGCGCAGTGTTCGTTTTTAATTGCTCATTTTTACTTTCCTGCATGAATTATTTTCATTTCTTTAAGAACGATTCATATTTTACGATGGCTCATCCTCATGTTCAAGCATACATTTATCTCCTGGTTTCTAGAACTTTTTCAGTTTTTAAAAGATATTTTCATTTTCTTTTTGGGGAAATAATCACGATTTTACAGCATATTTGGATTTAAACAGTGATAACTGTGCGCATTGTGTTTGCATTTAAAATTTATTTATCGCGGTTATTCAATATGACATTGCTCATTTTGCCACTTTTATGGGAAAATATGTTCAACTGAAGGTGACGTAGGTGAGTTATGTAGTGCTCAAATTTCCTAATTTAGTGGAGACTCATCCTTATTTAATTGAGCGTATTCTATTTGCTATTGCCCTTTTTGCCATTTTCACCGCTCACATTAAAATTTTTAAAAGAACCTTTTTATTTGTTTATTGCCTTTTTCATAATTTCTATTGCAACTTTTTTATTGTTTATTGGTGCACTCCTGTAGTATTTAGTGGCCAATTTGAGATTTTTTATTGCTCATTTCGCTTTTTTTCTATTGATGATTAATTGTGCTGCCATACGAAACTGTTTCAAGTGTGTTACTTGATCTACTTTAGATCTCAATAATAAAACTCAACTGATTAAATGTACTGCTTGGATGACCTCTCAAATCATGCATCACATGGGAGGAGCAGGCATGTTACACTCAAATTGGTGTGAAGTTATATGCAACGTGATATTGTATGAAACACTTAAGCAAAAAATCTAACTTGTGTTGTATTTGTTGCATGAGAATTCCATAAAACATTATGTTTCTTGAAACATTGGTGCTACAGAGTGTGAATGTTATGTTTTTGTGACTACTATTAAGCAACGACATGAAGCTCTTCATAGAAATAAGAAATGCCTCCGAGGCAGAAATATTTCAGAATGAAATAAATCTTTTCTACACCTGGTGTAGCAAAAGTCTACTCCAACTCAACGTAAACAATGTAACGCAATAACATTTAGTAGAAAAATTGGAACCCCTTGCATAAACATACATGAAGGAAGCGAAATAGCAGAGAAATGCAAAATTGTAAGGGACTTAGGCGTAATGCTGGACACCAAACTTACATTTGCAGAAAATTATAACACAATCATAATCAAATAGTATGCTGGGCTTCATACACTATAAAATTACTGTACACTACATATTGGACTGGCCCACATTTATATGGGGGAAATTTTTTAACATTTTTTTCAACCCTCTGATTTGTGCCATTAGGTGAGAAAACCTCCCGCTGAAAATTTCAGCTCGTTCGGATGTAACACGAGCTTCAAAAGCAGTTTCTACTGTATGCACTCCGCAAGTTAGGTTGGACCGTATTTCCTCTGCCATCTTACACAGATTGATGTATGCTCATAAATATCCGAACATTAAAAGGGCGTCGTGAATTGGTTATGATTTCATTTGTAAACGATATCGTATCACATCGCATTGATTCAATAGAACTATTGTCATCCTTTATATATACACCATTTAGGCATTTAAAAAATAGAAATATATTTACTACAAACCGCCATCGTATGAATAATGCTAAATTTGGACCCTTGATGAAATAATGGACACATACAATAAGCACTGCGATAACATTGACTTTAGAATTACAAAACCAAATTAAAGCAATTTTTTAATTCCTCGTCTAGTAGGAGTTTTTTTTTCAATTTGTGACAAAGTATTATTTTTAATACTTAATCAAAATTATAGAAAATAGCACTTAAGGCAACTATTGTAAAACGGTCCACACTGATTGACGCATCACCAAACACAAATATCCAATACGAGGAATTCCATCCAGAATGAGCTCAAAATACCTAAAATCGTACTCGACCATCTTCGATTTGGATGGCACTTGGCACATGTTTTCAGTATCATAGACCCAGTATTTTCCGTAAGAGAAAAGCCCATTTTGTCTCAAGAGTAAGTTTTGAGAACGGCCTATGTGTTTTTGCACACATATTATTTAAAAAATACAGTTTTTTCCTTGATTTGACCCATCAAATCATGAACCGGGGGCCAACAGCTTTACTTGATTGATCCCAGGCCTGCTGGGGTGAGAGATAATCACGCTTACCACTACACCACCGGCGCCGCTTGAAAAAAAATAGTTAAAAAACAGTTGGCTATAGAGAAAAATTGATTAAGAGAGCTATAGGGAACTAATTGAGCGTTTTTTGAAAGATAAAAAAAATAAACTGATTTTTTTTTTGGTTTTAACAAAAAAATCAAAAATAATTATTTTAAGAATTCCAATAACAAAAAAAAAACCTAATATTTAAAAGAAATTTGAAAGAAATTTCAGGATGAAGCCAGTTTTAATAAAACAGTTTGTTTAAGAGCAACTTTTGAAGCTTTTTTGAAACATTGATTATTAACAAAAAGAAGAACACTTTTATGACAGAAAAGGATTATAAATCATTCGAAACCACATTGATCATATGAATGAACTATCTAAATGTTACCGAGAAAAATGTTTTCGAGTTATTTTAAATTTAGTTTCAACATAATCAATATTTGTATGCCCTTTTCATAAGATAAGCATGATTCTCCATCAGCAATTTACCATCAAATTATCTTTAGACAGTTGAACGAATGAACGACCCGTTTAAAATTTACAGGGGATTGCTTTAAATATAGAAACCAACACAAGTTAAGTTGCACTTATTTCCATTATCAAGCGTAGTTTCATCATACTTAAGTAGTTAATATTGATATGTACCTATCCATCCTGTTGTTTTAGGTTCATTAAAATGTTCTTCTTCTTTGGCTATTACAACCCAACTTTACGCCTACTCTCAGCTGAAATCTCTGTTAAGGAATGCACTTTTTTCAGGCAATCGGTGATAATATTGGGCATTTGTGTAACTTTCATAAGTGAGCTATTGAATATTGATAAAATTGATTAGTAAAAAACGACCAATCGATTGGCTTGTTTAGAATTAAAATCCATCCGTTATTGACACAGTTATGAGTGGTAAAAACCAGATCACTTTTCGTAACGAGGTCAATTTTGGTTTTTTGAAATTGCACTTCCTGAAAGACGTAATCGTACGTCAAAAAATTCCCATTAACACACGTGTAACATCTTTGGTTTTACTTCGTGAAGCAGCTTGCCAACAATTCGGTCGTTTCCTTCTACCGGCCTGAGCGAGCTGTATTTCGAAGGCAGTTTGTCATGAAAAATGGAAAAAGATTATATTATTGCTTTCCAATTCTGACGCGTTATCATTCGGCTCGT